TTTACGCATTGTATTACATTTGACTATTTTTAAATAGATCATCATAATGAAATATACCAGTTGTCCTCCCTAATGGATTTGAAAAACAGGGACGAGACCAAAAAACTAGAGCCATTTTATTATTTTAAGATTTAATATGTTAATCAGAAACGTTTATATACATAAAAGCCTCAGTTATGTTATGCCTTAATAAACAACGCTTAGATGTTTTATGTCGCTTAATATTGTGGACACATATAGAGCCTGTATTTAATAACATTTTATTAATACACTAGCTATCGCACGCGACTTCATCGGCGTGATGTTTAAAATAGTAGAAAATACTATTTTTATGAAATTACATTAAAATATTTTTTAAAATAGTTGCGTATATAAAATTTTGTTTTAGTTTCGAAGCAAGATTATTAAGTAAGGCGTTTAAAGGAAAATCTTTATACAATTTGCAAATTACTTATTGTAATATTAAAAATAACGGTTTGCAATATTTAATGAAATTCGTGGAATTAAAAAAAAAAACTTACCGGTAAATATAGGCCAGTTATAATATCGCAGGCTGCAACCATCGCCAGTGCGTAAAATATAATTCTCATTTTGGTAGAGTTCGACAACTTCACTTCACTGTTAGCAAAAGTTCCGTAAATCGTCCGGGGTTGTTGGTAGGGGCTGTTGCGGCGAGGTCCGGGAAAGTTGTGAGTAGGGGCGGGCTAACCCGAGCCTTTATAGGCCCAGAAAATGTTACTGCGCACCCTCTGATGCGCTTTCACGTTTCTATCCACGTACTTATATCACTTCCTAACGCGCTCATACATTTAAAATGAGTTCGAGTTACTCGTAGTTGCAAAAAGAATAATTTACTCACACACTTTGTTTTATAAATCGAATTAAACTCGAAGTTCTTTTCTGGATTCACTTATTTAATACAACTCTCATACAAGTAGTGTTACTATGTTATCATTTCTTGGTCTCGTGAACCTAATACCTTTATCTAGTATTTATTCAGCAAATATTTTGGATGTAAGCGGTAGTGTTCATTGTATTCACTTTATTTTAAAAACATGTTTGAGATTATTTTTTACGATTTATTATATTTATTTCAAGTTCAAACAAATTAAACAACATCATTTTTAACTTGTTAACAATTTTTTTTGTTTAATTTTATTTCTTTTATTTTATCACAATAATTTTCAACGCTTGTAAAAATCGAATCAGATTACTTACTAATGTTGTAAATGCAAAAATTTAGCTGGATAGATGGACAGATATTTTTTAGAAGATTTCTCTCTCACTGCTCAATGAATCGCGAAGAGATTTGCCACAGATAACATAGTCTGAATAAACACATAGGCTACTTACTTTTGTTTTTTATTTAATATCGCGAGGACGGAGTCACGGACAATAGCTAGTAGAAATTAAATAATTAACTCAATTGAACCAAATTTTTGTTCGAATAAAGAGCAATCAAATTCCAGTATAAATACAATTTTCAATCCGTACTCCAAACTCGACATCATTATCGAAATTGTTAAAAGTAAACAAGATTTTGATTGGAATGAGTTTTACTAGGAAATTATCCGCTTAGTGCTTGTGGGTGGAAAGAAAAATTACCGTATAATGTAATTGTGGATGTCTTGTATATTTTTGCGTCCGCTTTATCTTTGTTACGTAGCAAGTAACCAGCGGCGAAGCAAGCACTTAGGAACAGTTGGTTTATAAATTATTATAGTCTCACCAAGAGGGAAACTAATGTTAATACACATGTACCTATTGTAGAATAGCATTCCCTAATAAGAGCATTCGCCCGTGGTGCCGTCCGCGTGGAATAAAAAAAAACAAGAGCATGTAGCCTATGTGTTGTTTCAGATTATACTCTACATCTATGCCAAATTTTATCGAGATCCATTCAGCAGTTTAGAGCGCGCGTGCACTTTTAACTAAGCAATCGCACAACTATTTAGTAACGCTAAGATTCTTATGAGTTTAAATTGAGGTGTGCACACACTGGAATTTTACTAATGCAAATAAACGAGTGAATTGGCTGCAAAACAATTGACAATCGCATAACGGTTGTGCGAGAGTTTAGTCAGAGGTGTGCGCCCACTCTTGGGCTATAAACTCTATCAAACATTCATCGAAATATTCGTGTTAACAATATTAGTAATTATATGTGTGTATGTTTTCCGAAATTTAACTATTCATGCATAAGTAAAAAATAAAAAACAAATATCCAATGTTAGTTTAGGATAGTTCGATTTTGCTTTCATATAAACACAAAAGAATACTTGTTGCTTTTGGTTCTGTGTTCTACTCTAAAACACATTCATCTCCCAAAAGACTTGAAACAAAAAGCTGGGGACTGCACACTTTCAAACGTTCCGATTTGAAAACATTAATAGTTTGGTATAAAGCGTTTTATTTAGTTTAACTCAACTGAACTCGGTTCGAGTATAGTTTTACTAGAATGGCTAATGAAGCGATTAAAATTCAATAGTTGTCCATAGTTAAGTAAACAATATCGTGCCCACTTTGTATCAGTAACGTGAGAAAATTGTTAATACGATATGTTATGAAAATTTCTTTAATAACGAACAGGTAAATATTTATAATCCTGAAAATTGTAATACAATTGTTACTAGAATAATAAATTACACACTTTCTAAATAGATTTAAACTATAAACCTGCTATTTATACCCTCAAAGTAAACTGACTAAATAATATATATAGAAATAAACCAAACTAGTAGTAGTTAAAATTTAGAAAATTACATGATTTACTTAAAATGAGAGCTTTATTACTTATAACTTTAATCTGTTCTTAAGCAATGATTGCAGGCTTACTGATTTAAATATCAAAACAATGGTCCTTTAAAGTTTGTGCGCTGGAGAAAATCAACAAAGCTTTAAGCTCTCTGGTACCGTAATCCGCAGATCGTACAACACAACTCGGTGCAGATAATTAACGTTCGGACTTTCTGGACCTGTCCGACGGTAACAGGCGTAAACTACAACAATAAAAAACCTATTGTTATGTAATAAAAAAAATCTTTGTTACATAACATGTCGAAATATAACTTAATTTGTTTCCAATCATGCACACAATTAAATAATTATACAATACTAGGTTTCGCCCGCTGACTACGTCTGCGTGGATACAAAAAAATAAACAGGTAGTAGCCTATGTGTTCGCGGAATTGCTTCCATTTCACGCCTAAATTCTGTGTGGTCGGAGTATTGCACCGGGTGAGCCAGCCCATTTGTATGAAAATGTTAAAGCGGGCTTTACCATTATTATAATGAGAATAAACATCCATCCTTCCATCCATCAATTTTCGCTATCATAATATTAGTAAGATTGGTAAGATAAAACCGACTTAACTTCATGTAATACGTAAATTTTAAATCTTTTCCATCTTTATTTGTTAAATTAAAATTTTAAAACGTTTTGAATTAAGTCGCTTCAAATTTGTGACGAGTAAATTAGATTTCGCCAACACGTCACTGTCAGCATTTCATGCTCCATACTTCCTAATAAATGTACTTATTTACCTGATTTATTGTGTGATCGCTTTTAGAATTATAATGTAAAGAATCAAATACAAAGTCACTAATTTGTTTTTAACTTAATTAGAGTCTTAGTAATTTGTATTACATTAATAACATTTATTAATATTATTTTATTGCACAATAAAATGTATGCATATTGTATTAATTTAAAACTGCATATGAAACGTTCTCATTTTAGTTTTAATATAAAGTTTTGTAAAGTGAAATCACTTTGCAAGTGCGACTGCAACGAACTTTGGGGCGTATGACTTTATAACTTTCTTACTATTAAAAGGATAAATTATTAAACTTAGTTATAATGAATGAATTACACGTCTTTTGAAGTATTTCAACTTATACTTATGAACTTAATTGCTTTTAAAACGTCAAGTTTCACAAGTTTACGTCAATTCTTTAAACCTTCTAAAATATGAATTGTAAATATATATTACAAGACAAAAAGTTAAACAACTAATTTGTATTGCAATTATAAAGGCGGATAGGATAATAGGAGAATGTAACAATTTTGAATTTTATACAATAACCAAAAATGTTGTCTAAACAACACTAAGGGCACCCACCTAATTGTAAATTGTCTGATAACAATCCAACATGTTAAGTATGTAATGGAAATAACGTATTGTGTTCACTTGTCTTGCAGTGATGTCATTTTTATGCTATCTAAACATTTATCAGCCAGTTGTGGGATAGGCCCGAAAAGTTGGTAACAAATTGCTTACTGATAAAGGTGGTCGAAAGTATTGCTACCTTTGTAAACAGATTATTATTTCTGGACGCATTTAAATTAATGAGTCAATTCAGAATTCATTTGCCAAATTTAAGTGAAAAAAAAAGATTTTTCCCGGTGAATTAGTGATTTAAGTACGGTCTTCATATTAATTTTCTACTTTACTTAACTTTATGTTTTCTCCTCTATCGTGTAGTTGATCGTTTAAAATGTTTCTTGAATATTAGGTCTTTTATTACTATCGGCGATAATGGATAACGTTATGTTTACCCTCCGACTATAACTTTGAGCACTTAGGTTTTATAGTTTTTCCTATTGATTTGCTTCATTATTTCTTTGTTTTAAATTTTTAACTTTCTTACTGTTTCATTCGTAATTGTTGCAATAATTATGTAAGAAAGTATAAAACGGACTCTTATTTTCGATATTTCCCTATCATGACATTTTTCTTTTTTTCCAATCATGAATATTTTGCACAATTTCGTTGCAACTATTTATATTTAGTCGTTTACACGACTGGTATTCATGTAAATTTACATTATTGAAAGAAAAAAATCGATGCTTCTTAAATAAAAAAAAAAAAAAACAAGAAATGCTTAAATGTTTTTTATTAATTTTAATAAATATTATAAAATACATGTCTAGTCGGATATAACACTTGTGTAAAATATGAATAAATATTAGAAACAACATTAAATAACGCTTGGAATAATCTCACGAAGACGTCAAGATGAAACGACAGAAGAGGGACTTTGAAAACGCAGTCCGTTGTACGGTAACTCTAAAGCATAATCTGCTTGAACTTCCCCTGGTGTTGTCGTTAAATCTACAGGGCTAGGTACATTCAAATTAAATTCTCCTGTCAGAGTCCCAGGGTAAACAGGAAAAACTTTTGCTTCAGAACTGACGAGATACTGTCCTTTTTTATCTGTATTTTCAACAACTATATGTTTTCTGTCAGACTCTTTATTTTGTTTTTGTTGATTATCTGATTTTGTTTGTTCAGAATTCGGCCATGGATTTGGATTTGTTTTTTCTTTTTTTGGTGTTATCGGTACAATGTTTGATAATTGCCAATTATCTAAACTTCTTTTTTCGTAATGTTCGTACGGATATGAGTGATAGAATCCATAGTTCAGCGGACTAGAAGCAATCTGGAACAGAACATCTGTTAACATTATAGTCGTGACAGTTTAGTAAGTGCTAAAAGCATGAATTGGTGTGACTTTTTTATTTATTTTAGATAAGATAAACATGTTTTTTAATATTAGAAAATTTAAAAAGCGATAGAACATCAATATTAATATAAATTCATACCTTCCCCTTGTCATGATACCCATCAAAACTAGTGTCTACCTAAAAGAGAATGTTAAAATTTATTTACGGGTTAGTTTGTTAGGACGCATGTACGTTATTTATTAGTAAATAATTTATTAGATCATTGTTAAATTATAACTAAATATTGCTATCAGTAACAATTACCTTCTTTAGCCCTTGTATGGATGCTAGGATGAGTGCCATTTTTGCAAGAACGAGAGCTTTGCCTCCCAATACGGCAAGAAATTGAAATCCCATTGGCACTAGTACCATTCCAATAGACACGATCCCAAACATCATCATTGTCATTAAATGATGACGACGCCGTCCGCGCGACTCCACTAACGAACAAAATTCAATTATACTTCTACTTAAAATAATAATTACTCCATTATACTGTGTAATTTAAGAAATTTTGATATTGATGATAATTATAATAAACTACCCACCTTTATCAAAGATATTTGAGTCATCAAAATCAAATTTAACAACATGTGTGCGTAGTATTTTGGCAATACGTTGAAGTGCGAGAGTACGCCATTCTTCTGCTTCTAATTCTTTATCTGTCCATGGACTGTAAAATGTAAACATAGATGATAACATATCTTTATTTATAAAGTCATCATCTTACAGTCCTTATCCTACTCCTAAAGGGTCGGTGCAACGTACTCCTCTACGTTACGTCGGTTACGTCATCCATCATCACTCCCCTCTTGATCATATCACCTTTCACGCAGTCCATTTATATCTTACTATATAAAAAAGTGGTACTATTTTATTAAATAATACATTTGTTATCAGTAAAATGTGATCTAATTTTGTGATGATGATTAAAACATTTATCATTCTTGTAACAACTTGGTTATTTATAAAATTAATTACACTGTCTGATTTACTGATGTGATTACTTTGAATACCTACAGTCATTGTTTCGCCACCGTTCTGTAACTGGAGCGGTCGTTTGCGCAACTTTAATATGAAACCTACATTATAAGCGACGTAAGCATACCGTGCAGGTCAATAACTTCACACTAAAGGTGTCTGGCAAAATTATTTGTCTTTTCCAGTGGTTAATTTGCTTTAAAATTTGTTTTTACATTTCAAAAAAATCGCTCATTCTCAACCAAACTAATAGATATCGTGGTAATAGACTGCATGTAAACACGTTGGGCTGATATCGATGGAAGAAAATAATCCGTTCTATAATCCAGACTACGTTCCTAAGATGAAGAACAGATCTTTAAAAGAAATTTTATAAAAAATTGTCATACCTAGTACTATTAATGTTCATCGTATTCCCAGATCCGTCAACCAATTCAAATCTAACCAAATTCACACCATCAGCTATCGGTACGACATCCGAACTAAGAGAACGATCTAAGGCCTTAAGGGTTTTCCTCTTCATGCATCTTACGAACTTTGGAAAGTACTCTTTACGGTCGACAGCATCTTTTACATCCACCAACTGAAACATTTATTAATAATTCAACATTAACTCAGGCAAAGTCAACAATCTTGTAACAATAATGATCCGAATTTGTAAGTCAAATTTCTGTTATAACGGTCGCAGTGGGAACTGATATTAGTATGAAAATGTACCTTAGAATTACATGTACCTATTTCGTTATTTCAAAATATACTTATTACTCGTGACTATTTATGGAATCGGCAAATTCCACTTAATTCTTAGAAGACTTTACGACGTCATTGAGTTACAAAAATGTTATGACTGGAAAATTTTGTTTTTGCTCAAGAAAAGTCACGTTGAGTTTAATTGCAAAATAGAGCACGAGAACGGGCTTACCGAAGTTCTCGAAGTAGCGGCTTAGTTATATCGCAAGAAATTCTTAAACTCAATTACAATTAAGAAGGATTATAACTTGTTTTTAAGTAATGACGCACGAGGCAAGATTCTCCGAATCCGTATTAAAGATTGATGTGGAAACATTATTGTCGCACGGGATACATATACCCTACCATTGGAATATCGTTCGAGTTTTAATTCCAGCTTATGATTTGCTTAATACAAAATTTTAAATCGACAAGTACTTTTTTTACAATATAAGGTTGCAAATGTGCAAGATGCCACCTGAATTCAACGAAAAGGAAAGCGACATCCACCGTCCCATCCTTTTACCTTAAAAAAGAGTGGAAAGGGAAAAGGGACTAAAATTAGGCCCTCGGCACCACACTTATCAGACGAAACGTGGAATTGCATCCACTTCACGCCTGTTTTCTGTGTGGTCGTGGTATTACACCGGACGAGGCTGTCCAATCTTGTGAAAGTGATAAAGCGGGCTCTACCACTGTTGTCCATTGTAATAAATACTATAAAAAATACATGTTTTAAAGTAGTTAAAATAAAATCTGTTGATAATTAATACAGTTCATTGTCGTCACGCAGAATGTTAGACAACTGAGTGAGTATTACCAAAGATAAACGAGACGTATGTAGGTACATACAATGTGCCAATCACTATCTTACTATTAATAAACATCGTTTATGTCTCGATTCCAAGAATCATATTAGTCTATTTAAAACGTAAGCATTTTTTAACTTCATTTAATAAAAACGAAATGTAGATTCTAGTTAAAATAAATGTAAAAATCTTTAACAAACTTTGTAACATTAAACACAGCCGATATGAAAACATTTGTTCAGAATTTTAATATTTATGTCATACCGTTTGAATTTACACAGCCTGAATAAATGTACTTTTTCATGATTTAAATATATTCGAAATTTGTCGACATTTTTACTTATTCCTTTAGTGAATGTTATTTTACAAAATCTACATTTTATTTTTAAATTTTCTCTGATTATATCTTATTACAGCTTATCACATACCTTTTTAGAGCAATCTTTCCAAATAATTTTGAGCACAGTGGTTCCTTCTAGCCATAAATCTGCTATGAAATGGCTTAAATATGCTTCGGATTCTTCTGTTTTATTACCATAGCAACTGTTTAATAATACTAACACAAGAAATAAACCAAAATGTAGCTTCATATTAAGTGAATATTGTGTTGTCACGTAATTCATAAAGATATGGCCTGGAACATGTCTTTTGGCTTCGATGGTATAATCTAAAATCAAGGGAACATTACATATATATACATCAACATATATTTTAACTTAAATATTTTACTATCTAATTATATCAATAACACTAATAAAAAATAAGCATAATACTTAACAAAGTGTTTTTCAAAATAATTTCGGTCATAAATTGAGAATGGGATTCATTTTTTTAATAAATTGTAAGTGAAAAGAATAAAGGGATTTCATTTATCAATAGCTGAAATGTATGTAATAAAGGTCTTCTACCCTCGATTCGAACACACTCCACTATCATATGTAAGAAGAAACGATTTCATTTTTCAATACTAATATCAAATTGCTGGGCATCAATGTAACCTTTTTTATTAAAAGTGTTTATTTTATTCAACTTATAGTTCCGTTGCATTAACTACATGTGTACTATGAATTGTAGATTAATCGAATATCCTAGATAACCAGTTAATTTAGTAGATCATACTATCATATCATATCATACTTCATACTAATATTATAAATGTGAATGTTTAGATGGATGGATGGATGTTTGTTAGAGTTTGTAGCCTAAACTGCTCAACGGATCTCAATGAAATTTGGCGTACATGTAGAAGATAGTCTGGAAGAACACAAAGGCTACTTGGTTTTGTTTTTTTATACTACGCAGACGGAGTTGCAGGCGAAAGCCAGTACTAAATATAAAGAAAGTAAAGAAAAATTAATAAGTTTTTAATGATTTTGTAAGTAAGCATTTAACGTTACAGCTCAAAGAAAATATATAAACGTGTAAACAAAATTTCTATTCGAGTTCATAACTCCATTAAACTGTTTAATTTGTTCTTGTTGAAATTACTTTTCAAGAAATGAATTTGTTTATATAAATGTAAAACGTTGATATATTTACCAACGTTTCAAATACAATACGTCATGTATTTGATCAGGTCACATTAGAATATTGTTACATATTTTTATCTTTACGATGAAAAACAAAGTAAAATTAAAAAGATACAGTTTTAGTAAAACTGTAGTATTTTTCCTTGTAATTACTGTAACTAAGCTCATTTATAACGTAATAGAATTACTTCAAGCATGCAAAGATTCCACACGTTTAAATCAGAAACGACATCTTACTAATATGATAAATAAGAAAGTTTAGATGGATGGATGTTTGTTAGAGTTTGTAGCCTAAACGGCTGAATGGATCCTGATAAAATTTGGTTGAGATTTAAAGAGTACTCTGGAAGGGCACATGAGCTACTCATTTTTTTTAATTCTACACGGAGAGAGTCGGGGGTAAAAGCTAGTTTTAATAACATTTTGCTACTTTAAGTATTTCAATTATATTCACACTTACCATTAACTCGAATGAAGTTAAAATAATGTCCAAGTTCGAAAACTTAACTAATACAGAACTTCTTGCTACAAGGTTTATACATAAATGAAATGCGCGATTTAATATTGTAACTTATATGGTGGACAGTGATATAGAAATCATACCGTGGCCGACTGACCATGAAGCAAATCGTGTCAATTGATGACCATAGGTATAAATTTAAATGCACTATTAATCTCTAATTTGCTTAATTTCTACATCAAAGAACATACGTTATTTCATTCTACTTGACTAGTGAGAACTCAAGCCCTATAGTGTATCTAAATAATATAGATTAGTTTGACAATTCACTTCAAATTTAGTAGGGATGGTTGTGTAAAATCAGTCATGATTCTTATTGATTTTCGATTTTTATTCTTATAGAAGTTGGAATCGAGAGATTCATAGTTATAACTTATGAATTGAAAAACAAAAACACTGTTTTCTCAAATTAATAATGACCAGTACAAATAATGAGAGTAAATAAATGTTTATTACTAATACAGCCGTACGTAATCGAATTGGATTTCGCTATTATTTCTGTCATCGCTAAATTCTTTACACTATAATCAATAATAGAATTGTCCTCTAAATTAGTTAATAAGAAAATAATAATTTAGTTGAGTTCGAATTATTTAAACCGGATATCGATTGTTTATAATTGTTCGCTATGCGAGTTTGTTTCGTCACTACGATACCTGTCTTTTAATTCGATTATCAAACTTATCTAATTTATTTAGAGAAACTATAATAATTATAGATATGTGTCGATTAAAGTAAAGAAAATAACAATGCAATAACCTCCTTTTAGGAAGTTGGTTAAATATTAAGTGAATTTTGCTCAGGCAAATATTAAAGGAAAATTAACGTTATATTATTAAAATTCATAATAATCTTTGATACATCAAAGGTCTAATTAAAGATTTTTTATATGGCATACCATTTATACAAATTATAAATGGTAAGAAAGATTTCAAGCGATCCCTTTCTATTGTTACGTCATGGAAATTCGTTTGGCGTCAGTAATTATTCTTGGAATCCAGTCAAGTTGAAAAACAAACCTTTTTTGTTTTTAGAATAAACTTCATTCTATTATTTTTGTTTTACGGAATTTAATATTTTGAGTATTTTACCTAATTATATACATTAGGTATCAATCTTATATAGTTACTAGTTGATCCCACGAGGCTTCATCCGCATGTAATTATAAAAAAATATTGTTTACATTTATCAAATATTCAATTGAATATGTCAAAATACTAATTACCTTACCATAGCAATCTTGCTTCCTTGATGTTGGCAGCTCGTAAGCTTATGGTTTCTTTCTCACATTAGGATTTTTATCCAATTTATTTACCCCCTAAGTTTAATAGCGTGAAAATCCTTAGACATGGCGTAACTGTAGAGCTTTTTACAAAACAAAAACATTCAAAAATATGCTGTAATTGCTGACATCTTACGTTACAAATAAGTGTGTGTTTATGCTTTAGTATATTAGTATAGAAATATAGATTTACAGTATGCCGACGAATATAATTGCCATAAGCTTTTTCAATAATTGGGTACTTACGAGTATATTGAATAGCTCGCTCTATTTATGGAGTTTGCATATGAATGTAATCGAGAAAATCTTGACCTTTGCCTGAACAATATTTTCAGAGGAACATTTGGTTGAAGAAAATTTTTAGCATAATACTGATAGCTATAAAGTACCTACCTACATATGAAAGGAGTATTTTAATTTGATTTAAATTAAATATCAAATTAGATAGATAGATAGATAAAGCCTTTATTCGCTGACAATTTACAACTTATGAATAACAATGTAAATAGTTAAAGTCAAATATAAAAAGTATTTTTTTTAATAGAGTATGTATGTATGTATATTTTCATTTTCCAACATCCAATTGCGTGTCAGCTTGTCCTTCGACATAGGCCTCCCCTAGTTTCTTCCATGTCTCTCTATCACGCGCTAATCGTCTTCATCCATTCGGTAGGTCATCTTCCCATCTTTTTATTTGTCGTCCTCTTTGTCTCTTTCCTTCTCCGGAGTACCAATCCATGATCTCTTTTGTCTATTTTCCTTTATTTCATATCAAATTACTTATTTTTATTTCATTCTAAATTTCAGAATTAATACATGTTAAAACAAATACATTATGCATTACTGCGAACTACCAAAAACGCTTACTACGCGCTTTTAGAACGTTGATATGTTCCAATTAAAGAAGCACATCAGTTATTACTGTGAAGTAGTGCAGTGCAGTGACCGTTAATATCATTTAACAATGCGCTTCAATATGCTTAATTTGTGATTTTTACTGGATAGTAAAGCAAGTAAGTTTTAATTCTATCAATTTTATTTATAACCAAGTGATAGATTGTTAAATATTACGGTGTTAAGTGTACATAATCAAAGACACGAGGCTAGTTTTCTTTGTCATGGAGCATTTCAAATTTTGAGAGTATGTCCGTTATTTTAATTTTATTAAGTAGATCATATAACTTATTCATATTAACCTTGAAGGTGTATTCAAATATTTACTTATAGTATTAAAGCCACGTGCTTTTTCATTACCACCATAGGGTTACTAGTGCCAATTTTAATGTTACTGACTCTACAAGCTTGTTTCAATGGTTGCTTGTAATTTTGTCTAAAAATAATTTTAGTTCTATACTATCTATGTTTGTTTGTTCTTTAGTAGTTGTACTGGTTGTGGCAGGATTTCACCAGAGGTATTACGTCATAACGTTCGAATTATTCTTAGAAGAAAATACGATATGATAAAGCGACATCTTATTGATATGAGCTTCATCTCGTTCAACGTTATGACTCTAATTCACTATCAATAACTGAACAACAGACATACTGTATTATTAAATTATTGCGCCGCCTCTATTTAATTCCAGTGCTATGTCTGCAGTAATAACAAATTACACTTTTAAGCCTTTTTTGTTGCTTACGTCTCTAAAATAATGATATTTCAAATATGAAAATTGAAACTTGAACTATTAACCTGAACTGCCTCATACAAGAAATATTAAAAAAACCTCCATATGTAATGGTTATAGTGTCTAAATCAGAAGGAATTTGATCACTGCAAAATCTACGATGGTGAGACCCTTATAAAGATTGACACATGTGCATAATTTAAATTATCTTCCAGTTTTAATGCTAAGGCGAAATTTCTGTAAATATGATGGAGAACAATAAAAATCTAGCAACCAATACTCAAGCAGGTTTACTTCCTATGGAATTAGCGGAATCTAATGAAAGAGGTAAGTAAATGTTTACTATGAAACACAAAAGCATGTTTGAATGCACTTAATAGAATATAGTAATTGCGTATAACCTTTCCCTTTCTTATTTTGCAGACAGAAAAATCGACTACAAATGCATTTATTCAACAATACAAAAGTTTATCTTTATAATTGTTTTATCAATAATGATGATCTCTACATATTTCTTTATATTTAAGTGGTTGCAATGTGATTGTAAGTATAAAAATATTTCATAATTTGTAAAGTAACATTTTTCTTAAAAATCTTTAAATATTTGCTTCATTTAAGCTAACTTTTCAACATCCGAAATAATTTTGGTATCTGAAATGAAAGATAATTCAAACATAACATTAATACAAGATGATGTAGAAATTTATCTAAGGCTTCGAAATAAAACAATAAATGCCGGGAAACGTAAAAAGAGGCAGGCAGTAAAAGCTCAAAGTAATATTCGCCAAAAGCATGTTACATTCGATGAAACGAAAATATGGGAAGCGAGACGAATTATTAAGGAACATAATATGGCATGTAATGAAGGAAACCACAAAGAAGTTTGCAAAGATTTGGTTCAAAAGTTAGAACAGTTGACCAAAAACGACAAAACGAGTATTGAACAACGCAATTCTAAAACAGAAACTACTGAAATAAATAAACGAGATACTGTAGACCAAAGTTATGATAAATCCCTAGAACCTTTAAACGACGACAAATCTCTCCTTCAACATAAACATCCACATGATAAACGTATTAACAGCTGTCTTTTAGGAAGTATATTAAAAAAAAACTTCCCGCAACCAGAAGGTAAGTAGCCTATTTTTTAAAAATATCAGAAAAAGAACAAAATCACATTTTTCTTTTGTTATAGGTGTAAATGACGATTCAGATTTGAATCATGCATCGCAGTCTTTGCAGCGCTTAAGGTTTGATTTGAGGAGTTGTCTTACTTAAATAACTTAATTTCATTAAAATATTCAATATTTTACACGTGTTTCAGATACTTTGGTCCTTTTCTGAATCATCCGGTTTATAGACACGAAAATATAGGAAGAAGACCTGGTTTACATCCACAAGATGTTGATATCGCGATGCAATATCTATCTAAGTAAGTTTGGTTGTAATAGGAAATACATAAAATACAGCATACTCCCTATAAAACTCACTAACATAATCCGTAATATAAAATGAGACACAGCATTGGTTAATAAAACCAAATTATTTCAGATCAGAATCAAGTTCTACACAGGTCATTAAGACTTCATCTCCAACAAATACAAATTGCGTGCCAGGAACTACTTCATGTTTAAATGGTGAAGCATGTATTGATAATAGCAAATGGTGTGATGGAAAGGTTGACTGTGCAGATGTCAGTGACGAAACAAGATGCAGTTGTAAGTCAAGAGTGGATAAATCTAGAATTTGCGATGGATATTTTGACTGTCCCTTCGGCGAAGACGAAATGGGATGTAATGGTAAGATATTAAAAAAATTAACAAAATAGAATTATTATAAAGCCACAAAATTTGCTCTTAAACGTTGAAAAATTTAAAAGGTTGCAAAGAGAATACGTTCAGCTGCGAGGACCCGAATGAAAAATCTCGAATTATCTGCTTTTCAAAGGAACAAAGATGTGACAACATTGCCGACTGTCCCAATCGTAAAGATGAGATTGACTGCAGTCTACTCACTCCAAGCTTGCATAACAAACCGGTAAGAAGCATCAAAAAAAGGATTTTTTTTTTATTTACGATGACAAGTTTCTACAACTGTATTACAGAAAGAATTATATCTGTCTGTTTTCAGTTATTTGCTGTATCGAATAGTGAAGGTTTCCTACATAGAAATTTTAAAGGAACTTGGTATCCAGTGTGCAAAAACCCTTACATGTGGGGCCATGATGCATGTCGTAGAGAAACGGGTTTAATAATAAGGTATAAAGTTTTTCCCTGAATACTACCATTAGCTAGAAAAAATATTTTATTTTACTTAACTTTCAGGCCACCTTATTTTCAATTAGTAGATATAGATCCTTTAAAAAGAATTAAATATATAAACACTGGACCCGTTGGCCAAATACACATGAGTACGAAATGCTTCAATTCATCTGCGGTCTACGTCACATGCGCAGACATGTTGTGCGGTACTAGAGTACCGTCAGCCGGCCAGTTCATGGATCAAGTGGGTATAATCTACAACATTTTATGGTATTATTTACAGTAGCAAACTAATCTAACTAATTTTAATAATGCATTGGACTAATTTTACAGAATATCGATATGGAGCGTGATCTATACGGTCGTAACAAAAGATTTTCATTTAATAGACCTTACATATTTTTTGCAAATCGATACAAAAGACACGCTAGTATAAACAGTGATAAAGGTCAATACGAACAGAAATTTGGCAATGGAAGAGATAAACGAACAGATTTTAGAGTTGTAGGCGGAATACCAAGCCAGCCAGCTGCGTGGCCCTGGGTAGCAGCGTTATATAGAGACGGAATGTTTCACTGTGGTGGAGTCATATTGAACCAGCACTGGGTAATGTCAGCAGCGCATTGTGTGCAAAAGTAAGTATTGAAACAGATCTAATTTCTAAAGTCTTAGACGCAGCATATAACTCTGTGCTTGATACGACAGGAACACTAAATGTTACTTTGTTCCTAGATTTTGGCAGCATTATTACGAAATACAAGTAGGAATGCTTCGTCGATTTTCCTTTTCGCCGCAAGAGCATAACCATCGCGTAACTAATGTTATTGTTAACCAAAATTATGATCAGGAAGATATGAAAAACGACCTCGCCTTATTACGGGTTAGGTCTGCTATTCAATTTAGCAGATGGGTTCGTCCGATTTGCTTACCGGGACCCGAAACAGCAGGACCTAATTGGAAAGAAGAACCTAAACCTAATACTATCTGCACCGCTATTGGTTGGGGAGCTACTGCTGAACGCGGCCTTGATCGTAAGTCATAATTACGGTTTACGTAGTTTTTTCGTAAGTTTTTAAACAGAGTATTTTTTTAAATTAGTAAGACAATTATAGAAGTTAAATGTATTTTATTTTTTAAAGCTGATCACTTGCGAGAAGTTGAAGTGCCAATTTGGAGCCATTGTAAGCACAAACAAGATGAAGCTGGAAAAGAAATTTGTGCTGGTTTAAAAGAAGGAGGAAAAGATACATGTCAAGTAATAAATGCAATATCACTTTAAAACATGAAGTAGCTATAATTAAATTTTGACCTTAATTAAATACAAACCAGTTACAAATTATCTCAATTACAGGGTGACAGTGGAGGACCACTTTTGTGTAAAAATCCAAATAATAAAAATCAATGGTACGTTGCCGGCATAGTCAGTCATGGAGATGGTTGTGCACGAGCTAATGAACCTGGTGTCTATACTAGAGTCAGTATTTTTGAGGATTGGATTAAATTTCATATTTGTAAGTAAAACCAACTTTCATACGATTTCAAAATAATATTGTGGACACTGGTTAGTTTCTTAAGTCACATAAAACAATCATCTTATATACTATTTGCTTTTTCTACAGTTTCTAAAGATTTACCAACGATACAGCCTAAACATGACTGTCCAGGATTTGTATGCGAATCAGGAATTACAAAATGCTTACCTAAAAAAAGAATATGTGATGGAATAATTGACTGTCTTGGTGGTGAAGACGAAATTAATTGTGATCTTGAGACGGTACCTGAAAACAAGCGTGAAACATCACAAAAAGAAAATGACGCTCACTTTGTGGAACGGGAAAGTAATAAAATAGATAAACAAAGTCCTGAAGTTGCTATTACAACCATATCGGATAAAGAATTTAATAGCGACAATTCAGCAAAGGGCTTCTTGAATTACACAACCACAACCTCGTCGGCAAAGCAAGACGTTAGTCATTCTGAAAATTTATTGGACTATGATTTTAATCATGCATCAACTATTGAGATTATTACTGACAGTGCATCCGAGGAAACAGTTATTAAATCAACTTCCAATGAATATGCTACCTTAGATCCAGTAATTTCACAAACAACCGAAGTGGCATTAGAATCGCATACTGTATCAATAAATACACCAAAAAATATTTTTGAATCAGTATCTTCTCAACTGAAAGAGAAAGATAAAACCGAAAGCGATACAAAGATATCACACAATGACATATTAAAAAATATCACAAATACTACGCAATTAAATGTCACTACAGATATTCCACCAAGAAATGAATCTTTACATCGAGATGTAATTAATAATCCGAATCATACTCACAACATTACTTATTTTGAAATAACTACTAAACACTTTACAACAGTAAATGTTATAGAAGATATTACAGAACCTTTTACCACGTCACAGTTTGATATTAGTATTTCTCCGGAAGTAACAACTGAAACAGTTTTTGAAAATAATGAAATGAAAAAACAAATAATTGGAACAGAAGTCTCACATCTACATTCTGCCAAGAGTAGGAAAAAGTTTGTAGTACCTTTGAAATTTGAGTGTAGACGGTAATTATGCTTGGTATTAATAATCCTTGTGTTTTTTATTAAGTATGAAAATGCAATCTTAACCAGGAATTTTCTAGGATATTCCAAAATATATCATTTGATAAACGTTGTGATCACAATGCTGACTGTGAGGACGGTACTGACGAGCAAGATTGTACGTGTGTTGATTATTTATTCACTCTACATAAAAATCTTATATGTGATGGTAATTTTGATTGTTTAAACGGGCTAGATGAAATAGATTGTTGTAAGTATGAATTTATTAATTATTACGTTATTATTACATTATTTGTTATTACGCTATTTATAAAATGCAAAACTTGCACAAACAATTACTGTTTTTGTTGTAATTTTAGTCGCTTGTGAAGAAAATGAATTCTTTTGTAAGAAAAGTAAACTTTGTTTGCCTTCAAACTATGTTTGCAATGGAGAAGTGAACTGCCCAGATGGAGAGGATGAAGACGATTGCTGTAAGTTGAAATATAGTATATAAATTTATTTTTAATACTAGTATTTATTTATTTATAATTGTTTCAATTTAAGTTGCTTTATCAAATGGAAGTGATATTGTTTTTGACTTCAATGGACGGCCAGAATTAAAACTAGATGGATATATATCAGTAAGACACAAAAATAATTGGCATATTTTTTGTGAAGATAATTTAACATTACAACAACAAGAACAAAAAGCTAACGATGTTTGCCAATATCTCGGATTCAGGTAGGATATTGTTTGTCAAAAACTAATTAAACTGCTAATTTAAATCATGTGGTAGCGTATAATATGACTTTTCGCGTGCTTTCTTTACAGTGCCGCAAATAGATATCTCATAAAATATTTACATGTAAATAAAGATAAATTAAAGCCAATAGACACAGAAGACAAAAGGAATAAAAGAAATATTAAATACCCAATACACTTTACTTACCTAACTACTGATACTGATGATGAAACGAGATCTGAAATGCTTATTAAAGAGCCTGAAGTTTTAAAGGAAAAATGTTTACCGAATGTTACAAAAACATGCATGACAGTCTATGTTTATTGTGATCAATCACTTTTCACTAACTTCAACTCTAACCATGCGTTGGAAAAATTGACTGAACAAAACACAACTCACATGTGGCCTTGGATTGCAAAAATTTATATAGATGGTACTTATAAATGCACTGGAGTCTTAGTTGATCCTTCCTGGGTGGTTATAAGTGATTCTTGCTTATGGAATACAATGTAAGTATTCATTTGAAATTAGAAAAGAGACAATCGTATATTTTAATTTTCAAAATTACATAAACCAATTAAAGTTTCAGCCGCCAGTTTGTCTCTGTGGTACTTGGATCGCATAAAACGCTTTCATCAACACGTGGCCCATACGAACAAGTATTTCGAGTCGATTTCAAAAAAGACTTATATTTAAGAAAAATCACCATCCTACATCTGAGTGGGAATGCTACGTATTCGAGTATGGTAAAACCCATGTCAATAACACAAACGTATGTAACTTAATAAAATTAATAGAATTAAAGTGAATTAAACAAGATGAAAAGATAAGTAACAACTTTCGTATTTTAGGTATCTACCGGAAGATAATTTCAAAGTTTGTATTGCCATAGGTGAAGACGTTCACAATAAAACAATAAGCATTTTTTTGAACGAAACCAGCCATAACTGCCTTTCGAACAATAGATGCTTTGTGCGGCGTACAAATTCATCTATTTGTGCTGTAAGCAAAACGTTACATGTTTTTTTTACTCATATTTATTCAAAAATCCAATCCTAAACAATTTTTTTACAGGAAAATGTGAATTTACAACGTCCATGGGCAGGAATCATCAGCTGTCATACAAACCTAGGATGGTATCCCGCTGCCTCCTTCGTAGATAGCAGAGGAGAATGTGGTCTTAATAGGACAATAATAGGGACTGATATTGGAAACATTAAAAACGAAATTAAACTTATCAAAGGTAGAAATAATAATGCTAGAAGTTGCAGTAATATTTTTATGTAATTCTTGTTTTATAATTTGTTTATTTAATACTTTATAGATGTTTTCCAAAAATCAAACAATGGAACTATAAGAGTATTACCTGAAGATTGTAATGGTCAAAGATGTGGACGTGGAAAGTGCATAGATTTAAGAAATATATGTGATGGTATACGTCACTGTGAAGATGGAAATGACGAATCCTATGATGCATGTTATAAAAAGAAACAGATTTGCTCTCTTGATCCTCTACATAATGGATGCGGTAATGTCAAAATAGATACAATACATAACAAGTAGTCACATCAGCAAAGAATATCAAACGAATGGGCAGACCTTGTCCATCCACTAGTCTAAGAATATGGTTCAATTAGATAAAAGACGCGGAATATATTACACTTTCTAAAATTCCAGATTGTACAACAGATCAACTGAAATGCCAAAACGGTGAATGCATATCAAAGGAGTATTTCAGGGATGGTAAGAAAGATTGTAAAGATGGTAGTGATGAGCCTGGTGAGACGACTTGCGCTGATTATTTGGGACGTGTTATGCCTTCACGACTTTGTGACGGAGTACTTCACTGCCACGATAGAAGTGATGAGAACCCTAAGTTCTGCAAATGTTTCGCAAAGAATAGCTTCAGGTAATGTTTACAGTTAGATAAGATGATTGGCCTTTTTAACATGTTATTGGATCTATGTTTGTAAATTTCAGGTGTGGCAGAAATTCCGAAGGAAGTGACAGTTGCGTCGCTATGGATATGGTTTGTGATGGGATAAACGATTGTCCTAATGGAGAAGATGAAAAGAAATGCATTGGTTTAAGTGCTCCTCCGCGTACGCCGTAAGTATTTCATTAAATATAAAGTGTCCTATACCCTAAGTTTATCGCTTAGTTTCATTTGTGCACAAAAAGTCCATTTTTTTGGTATCCTGTATTTTTTTTTTTCTTAAAATATATTACAATAATTACTGTTTTCGTTGTAGGTATGGTACAGGCAAGGTGATAGTGCGTTCCCACGGAGTCTGGTACACAAAATGTTACCCTTCAAAAGTACATACAAAATCTGATCTCGAAGCTATCTGTAGGCAATTAGGTTTCATCAGCGGCCATGCTAAGCAGCTTCCAATGCCAGACAAACTGATCACAATACCTCACAACAAATATGTTATAGATAACTTTAATGAAATTGTTTTTAACAATAGAACGAAAATTAAACTGAGAAATACCAATACACCTATAGCTAGAGCAGTAATTGGCGATTTTGAAGAGTGTAATCCAGTTTTTATTGAATGCCTTTAGTGTAATTTATCTTTATCATTAAACTTTTAGTAAATTGTAAAATTAAAATGAAAGTATTCAAATAATGTTTTATTACTTAAAGTTATCTATTCGTCATTAGTAGTTTAATGTTTAACAATACTGTTATTTATTGATTTATAAATACTGCCATCTTTTAATATTAAACTAAGCTGTGAAGGTAGTGAAGTGGAGGTTTTAAGTACGGTTTGCTTTACGTTTTGCTTATAAAAGATGGCGCTTTTAATTATATTTATTCCCTAACTTAATTGAAGCTTACTTCTTCGTAACATGTGGAATGAACTAATAATTTACTAACAAACCCTCCCAAGATATAATCTACAATTAAATCTACAACTCTTCTTGTATCTCATCTAATTATACAAATTAAACTTTTTCTAATTTCCTTATTCCACAAATAAAACTTTGTAGTCAAAACATTTATTTCTTCAATTATATTATAGAGAGGCCGTGACTATAATTTTATATATTTAAAAACTAGAAAACAATGCAAAACAAATAGTTAATGAAATTTGTTTTACATTTTCTTGTATTATTTAAATACCATAGTATGAGACCACACTAAAATAAAAATCAAAAAAGTTTTATCACGGGTCAAGAATGTCACCTCTAGGTTGTTCATTTATTTGCATCATGATCATTAAATCTTTTATGATTCATACATTTTGTACAAGATTAGAAAATCGATATACAAAAAAGGAACGACATATAACCATAATGTGTTTGTAAATGTATTAGATAAAACAAACTGTGGAACTGGTTCGATAGAAATCTTTTTTTTTAAATATATTATAATAGATGGTGATAGAAATTTTATTTTTACTGTACAAAACGAATAATTTGATTTAAAAATTAAACTGTTAAATAAGTTTAAATATATTTTAAATATCAAAACGTGGTACAATGTTAATTGGATATCAGGAAATTCATTCTACAGTTATAAATGTAATAAAAGAAATGGGAAAGACTAATGCAAATAGATCATAGGTTTTTAAACCAATGGTCAAGATTAAAACGGAACAACTTAGAATAAGAAAGGAAATAGTAAAACGTTTTTAAGAGAAAAAATATTTTGATTTCGTACAACGACTAAATAGGGAATACAACATTCTTACTTTTTAAATATGCAAAAATTCGACGCCATAGAGTCTGGTCGAGATAATGAGCAGCCTAATCAACTTGAAACATTAAGATAGAATATTAATCGACATATTTATGCTAATTTTGGCAAAGTGTTACACACGGAGTAAAAGGTCGTTCTTTGGCGATGATGACATCTATATTTAAAAACTTTTACAGATAATACCGACTTAAGAATATAAAATTATTCGCTATATGATCCTTTTCACAGAGCAATTTGACATGCGAATTGTCGTACGAGCTCTTCATTGTAATACTGGCTATAAATCAGTATTTACATTCGTTTCTTTTAATTTACACTGACCGATAACGGAACGTGAGTCGGGTTTCGTCTTTCGCCACACAAGCTGCCTTAATTTAAACATTATTGTTCGCACTTTGTTATTTCAGGCAACGAATATTTGGTTTTTAAAATGAAAGATGAATCAAATTTTTTCATAACGTTTTTCCGTAATGTTTATTTTAGGAATCTTAGTTCTTTTTCCTTTTACCAATTTCTTTACAATGGTTTTGAAGATCGCTGTTATAATTTTTTTATTACGATGTTTTTTAATCTGAAGATATTAAAGTTTATTATTTGTTTTGTTGTATAAGTGCTGTTTTTGGATGACTTAAAGGTTTGATGAGTTGTTATTATTGGAAACGAGGCAGATGGTATTGTCTACAGAGGTGACAAAGCAGTTTCTTTGTGACTTATCAACGAACTCGAATATATTGTTGTTTTTAAATACCATAATATAATGTACACTTAACGTCAAGCTTAATAAGTGCCTCGTCAGTTTCGACTACAGAAGTCATTATAAAAATGTAAAAAAAAAAACATTTTATGTATGGTATCTTTATTAAAATTGGTATTTTATTCAAATAGAAGACAATCAACAACGTTACTTTAAAGGAAAGTCATACTAAGTTACCTTGATTCGGCCCTTTTGATAGGAAAAGCAATTTATTGATCAGTTTCGCAACTCTTCCGAGTGAAATCAATCAATCGGTTGCCTCGGGGATTATTTTCAAAATAACATTTCAAGTGAACAAGTCAACAATACATTATTACCAAGAACGACTGAAATAAAAACCATTAAATCTTAATAAGAAGAATTGGTAAACTTGAACGTGTTGAGAATAAAAATTAATTATTGTTTATCACAAACAAAAGATATCTACACATGTAAACAAATCCGCATACAAACTTTTCGTGTTAAATATTTTAAATGGGCTGACTTTTTGCAGTCCTTCATATCGAGGCCTGTTGACGTGGAATCATCGGATTTTTTTTGTTTCTCGTAGGTAACTTTACCGATGGTTATCGCCGAAAATAACCTTTAATTACTGTGTAGTTTAAGCTACCCTGACCTTTCAGAGTTGTTGAGTTTCTTTCTGTGAAATAAGAATCAATCAGACCTGACAACATTTAGAAATTAACTTAAAAAATTTATTAAAAACAAAACAAAATGCCAATTGGATACTGCTTACTTTTTGATCTTTACCAATTATCAATATTATTAATTATTAAATAAAAACTAATACCATATTTTAGTATTTTTTAATAAACTAATCTATTACCATAGATTAGTTACTTAACCTTCTAAGCATTCATGAAATTTCTAGTATTTTTGCGTACATAAAAAAATTAAAAGTATTAATAATCTAATATAGTAGTTAAAGAAAATTGAAAATCTATAACAACGGTAATTCTAGTACATACATATATCTTCATTAATCCTGTGCTGTGAGTAATGTGCTATGTCGACAACCAAATGAAACACAGGTTCAATTGTGCGGCGGCGCCCTTTGAACTTCAAAGGCATCTTTATAATGCATTTAATTCGTGAACGATTCCGGGTGACTAATTTTATTTCTTGGTAATATTTTAGCATAACTATAAAAGGAAATAAAACATGCATAATATATTGTACAAAATGAAAATGCATTTATTTACTGCGTATAAATAGTACACTATTATTGTACTTTTTATAATTGTAATACAAATAGGTGATATGACCAAGTGTGGCTATGAAGATGACGGATGATAGAGTTATTTGGAGGACGAAAACCCAGAACACTGACCCTACGTGAATAGGATAAAGTAGGGGAGATGATCATTTAAATACAAAAATGGTACCTTCTTCTTCCACCCGAAGGACAAGGTTTCTCTGTAGGAGTAGAGGGTCGACAGAATATGTACTTCTCTACCGTACATCTATCAGTCATATCTGATTCACTTCGTTCTAAAATACACAAACATACCCATACAATGTAAAATAGAAGCACTTTATACTATTTACTGCTTACTTACTTTTATGTAATTACTATGTAAGTACATTTTAAAGGCAATAAATGCTCAAAGACGCTATATATGTATGTAGTGTGTACAAATAAAACAAACATGACAACCATTTCTGGGTCTCGAATACTATTTTATTTGTCTGAAATATAAGTTATTCTATAAGATAATTATTAGGCAATTATAAATCATATTGATAATATAAAAATTTAAAGTACAAAAAGTTTTAATTGATGATAAATTAAAAGTCAAGGCTGACACAAGCTGCGCAGACTTCGATGTAACAAAACACCTCGTGCAACTCACAAGCAAGACAAATTGTTACAAGCTTACTTACATATTTTTTACATACAAAAAAATCTTAGTTTAGCCACATTATAATAAATCGTGTATTGTTAAAGATCAATGTTTATTAGTTTGTGGTAATTTTAAAATACATATGTTTTATTCAATACTTATTGAAAACTTTAGGTTGAGCGTTTCAACAACCTGGTTGTTGAAACGCTCGTTGCTTATCTTTTTTTATTCTATCTACGTATTAAACTGCTTCCAATATTTTATTTATTTTGTAAAAATTGCTGCGTCTGGGTAATTGTAATTTGACAATTTCAAATATTGGTTGTTAACCAGAAAAAACCAGCGGTTGCTAACAACGATGAATTACTACAGGAAAAATTGTAATTCATCGTTGTTTCCGTTTACGAAAATCGTTTAATCAACAAATTTAGTAACATTTTCTCAAAATAAAAATTTGCCTTATCATATTTCCTCGTTGTTTACGATTAGGTGAATTCACTAAATTTTATTTACGTCATAATTCTAGATATCTAGGAATGATAATAGACCTTTGTTGATCTACGTAAGTCTTTACTTTTAGGGCTGGAATAGGCCCCATAATTTGAACCGATAATATATTACGAGTTACGAAAAACATTAGATAAATGGTGGATTCTAAATATGTAACAGCAGTTTTTAAGGTTTCTAAGCAGTCAAATAAGTAACAAAGAATAATGGGCATTGGTTACTATTTTTAGCTACAATAAGCACGTTTTATGTGAAAAAACCTTTTAGCTTTTTTCTCATACTTAACTAAGTTCAATTTGTTTTCACTTACCAATCTATTAGAATAATATTTTATGCTTAATGTATTCGTGTGTAAAACACGCTTTTTGCATGGAGATATGAACGTAATTTTAACATTTTTAAAATTAGATATTAACACAATGGTGATTATTAAAAAACTATTCTTTATGGAACCACTAACTTTCGTCCGCGATTCCGTCCGCGTGGAATTAAAAAAAAAGTGATTAGCCTATGTATTCAGACTATCCTCTACATCTGTACCAAATTACATCGAAATCCGTTAAGCCGTTTAGGCTACAAACTCTAACAAACATCCATCCATCTAAACTTAAGCACTTATAATATTATAGTATGATTCTTTATTTGTACACTGCGTAGATATTTCTGTATTTACGATACAAGTTTCGAATTAGAAAGGTTTTCCTCATTTCATATTTATCTTTTCCATAATTTCAGGCAATTAAAAAATACATTTTTGTACGATTTTTTATCTGTATTTTTCCTACACCTATCAGTAACCTGTATTTGATTTTTATTTTAAATAAAGCCTATTTACGAGATCAAATTTATATTCAGAATTCATTTGACTACATAACCAATTTTATTGTAACAGTTTGGTCGTAAATTGATATAAATAAGATATGAGTCAGATTGACCGTGACATCATTTTACTGTTTTACTTTAAATGTATATTTTTTAAAGACATTAATAAATAGAATTATAGTTACGGCGCGTGAACTCTTGACCTGTATAAGGCACGGCAGATATTTGTGACTTCAATAATTTACTAAATGAGTCATTGTTCAAATTTAATCAGATATTATTTATTGATTTTTAAGTTTTCTCGATCGTTATAGAATAATGTTACTATGACAAACGGTTATCAT